GATGATGATGATGAGATAGATATTGAAGATGTGCAACCTTTTCTACCTCTAATTTTTAAAAGTACTGGTTTGGTATCAGAATCACTACCATCATCACCAGAAAAGTTCTCAAAAGATGAGCTTTCATTTGTTGAAGAAGTACCTAAACAAATCGAAATTGAGTGTCCAGTTTGTCTTAATATATTGACAGATCCTCAACAGGTGAGCTGCTGTGGACATAATTTCTGCAAGTCTTGCATTGAGAGAGTAAAAAGTAGTAATGGATCCTGTCCTATGTGCAACGTTGGTCATTCGAAATATCAATCGTTTGCAGATAAGAATCTCTCTCGTATTGTTAACGGGTTACAAGTCTATTGTACCAATAAAGTGAAAGGTTGTCAATGGAAAGGAGATTTGAAGTATCTACCCACTCACCTTAATAAAGGGAAGAGAGAAGGAGAGTGTCAATATGAAGAGGTCAAATGTCGATATGAAGAGTGTCAAACAAGAGGTCAACGTCAGCATCTTAACGTTCACGAGGAGGAGTGGTGCGACCAACGACCATACAGTTGTGAGCATTGCTATGAGGAAGGTACATATTCATTTATTACCTTCTCACATATGAAAGTTTGCTCAAAGTATCCTACAAAATGCTCCAACGATTGTACAAGTTCTGTTATGCCTCGAGAAAGTGTTCCTGATCATTTGACCCAGTGTCCATTGGAGCCAGTAGATTGTGTGTTTAGTTGGGCTGGTTGTAATGATAAGCCATTACGTAAAGATGTAGATAAACACACTGCTGATACTAAACATATGGCACTATTAGCTGTAGCTTGTGGACAATTGAAGAAAGAAAATGAACAAATAAAAAAAGAAAATGAGAGAATAAAAGAAGAAATGATGGAAGAAATCGAGAAAATACAAGAAGAAAATGAAAAAACAAAAGAAGTGAATACCCAAACACTGTCTTATCTTGGTGTCATTAACAATGATTCACATCCTATTCTACCAGTCACAGTTAACGAACG